GTAGACATGTGAAATAGGTAGACGCAGTACAAGAATCATAGTTGTAGACATCTGAAATAGGTAGACGCAGTAGAAGAATCATAGTTGTCTTTTCGCACTGAATGTGTCCTGTTTTGTAGACATGTGAAATAGGTAGACGCAGTACAAGAATCATGGTTGTAGACATGTGAAATAGGTAGACGCAGTAGAAGAATCATAGTTGTAGACATGTGAAATAGGTAGACGCAGTAGAAGAATCATAGTTGTCTTTTCGCACTGGATGTCCTGTTTTGTAGACATGTGAAATAGATAGACGCAGTAGAAGAATCATAGTTGTAGACATGTGAAATAGATAGACGCAGTACAAGAATCATAGTTGTCTTTTCGCACTGGATGTCCTGTTTTGTAGACATGTGAAATAGGTAGACGCAGTACAAGAATCATGGTTTTGTAGACATGTGAAATAGGTAGACGCAGTACAAGAATCATAGTTGTAGACATGTGAAATAGGTAGACGCAGTACAAGAATCATAGTTGTCTTTCAGATTAACTTTTTACAGTCATACGCAAGCCTTAAATTTAAAAAGCACGTGATTAGAACGATCACGTAATTACTTTTTCTCAACTACTTTAGATCGTTACTTCTCCACTAACTGATGAATTCAAACACACAAAGTTGCACTCGCTAATGACAACTACGACGTTCTCAGTTATGCTAACGATAAATATTTTAACGCTGATGTTACACTTCGCTTAAGATACTTGAAATGATTTAAGATAATTAGGCCATCTACTTGGCAGTCTATTCTTAAAACATTGTACACATTCAAAATGTTTTAACATCTCTCTTTTTTTTATATTATATAACTGTTCTTCTTATTTAATTGACATTTCAGGTCATTTCTTATGGTTTACATCTTACTTTTACTTGACGTTAAATTTTCCCGAATGTTCCTTCAGAAAAACTAAGAATGAACATTCATTTCTTGTCAACTGCATTGTTGTTGCAAGAATAATAGGTATTATTTTCAACAAATATAATAATACTTAGAGTTTAGTTATCCCGTTTCCAAGGGCGCTAAACCAAGAAATATATATATATATATATGCAAAAGAAAGACATCAGTCACGACAATTAAAAGTTTTTTCTTTTCTTTGTCATACCTAGCTCGATTTCCCCTTCAGAAAAAAAACAAAAAAACAGCAACTTGTAGCGTAATAACTGTAATTTTCATGGTTACTATTTTTCTTAAGCTATTATTTAATGAGGCACTAAATCTTTCATGGATCATGACAAAGAATTATGTCGGAAATACTTGTAAGTGATTAGTTACCAAAGCTTTTCTATCAGAGATTCTGATGAGATGTAGTTTTTAATTACTCAACAGAATAAGACACGTAATTTAATCAGTCACTGTCTTATTTAATTTCCACATTTCCAAGGAGAATGGCGGAACGTTGTGGTTTTATGTTACTATAGTTGTTGTCGGCTATATGTCACTCATTATGGTAACATATGATTTAAATGAATGTCCCCCTTTTTTTTTTTAAATAGGATATCTTGGAAAATGAAGACGTTAAATTAGACAACATGTTCATTGCATCTCTAGTTGGAGACATTGTAAGAGTAAGTAAACGTTTCGGTTACTCCTACTTTTCTAAAACTACATGTTGCCAGGTCTCATCTTTACTGTAACTGATGAAAGATTTTCAAATACTTGTATTAAGTTTTACGTTTCGTAATATTGTTTTGGCCAACAACGTATACCAAGAGAAATTCAATGGTCTATTTCCACATTATATTTCAAATTAACGTTAACTTTTTTGTTTGTTTTAGAACAAAGTTACATTGGACTGTCTGCTGTGTTCACAGTGAGGAATCGAACCCCGGATTGCATGCATTAATGATTTTGTATGACAAGATGGAGAATATCTACGAAATCTGTTGTAAAAGTAATTTTAAACATTTATTTCACGATATGGGAGCACGTATCCAATCGCATGGAAGTTCCACAGTGGCATTGTGTAAAGGGAGAATTTGATTCCTTACAACGAAAGATAAACGTAAACAAGAAACGTATTTCTACGTCCAGTTAGAGATTCTTGCTGGTTCTTTCACTTCTCTCCGTATGATCAATATCCAATTTACCTTTCATACAGTTCATTTGTATCTTGTATGATGGTTCTTTCGTGCTGTATTAGATAAAAAATGAATAAATCTGTGATGAGCTCACCATGGTGACTGCGTAGCCACAAACTGTCTATCTCTGTAGTAGGAATTACAGGGAATGACATTTCTTGACGATAGCTCTATACGTTCCCATGGTAACCTAAAACACACGTAAATATAAATCATTCTTTTTTTATATATACAGGGAATGACATTTCTTCACGATAGCTCTATACGTTCCCATGGCAACCTAAAGACACACGTAAATATAAATCATTCTTTTTTTTTTTACAGGGAATGACATTTCTTCACGACAGCTCTATACGTTCCCATGGCAACCTAAAATCCTCTAATTGCTTGGTTGACAGTCGTTGGGTTGTGAAGATTACAGACTTTGGATTACATGAGCTTAAGAGCGGAACCGACCTTGGTGAAGAAAGCACAGATCTAGAGAAACAGTGTGAACGTAGGTCTTGAGTCCATTTCTCATGCGGCGTAGATTAATGTCTCTGTAAAGAAGATTGATAAATAATTTTAGCAATGAAGCAGAAAATATTCATTTATTACTCATTTCTACTCAATCTCAAAATTTCAAATTCTTCATATTGTAATGAATCAGATTAACCAAGTTTAAAATCTTGAACTCCAGCGTTAATGTATGTAGTATAGGAAATAGGTAGGATTGAGACATGCGCACAAACGCTTACAATTGCGTTGCTATTTTGCAAGTGTTCATCAGATCTATCTATAACGGCCAATACTTGGTATCATATCACTAACACTTGAGAGGCTTAGAAAACACCACGTTTAACATAGTTTTAGTGTTTATATAGGTATGAATTGTGTTAGATAACACCACGTTTAACATAGTTTTAGTGTTTATATAGGTATGAATTGTGTAAGAAAACACCACGTTTAACATAGTTTTAGTGTTTATTTAGGTATGAATTGTGTTAGAAACACCACGTTTAACATAGTTTTAGTGTTTATATAGGTATGAATTGCGGGTGAAGACTATTGGCTAGAGTGTTGAGCTTCGGACCGTGGAGTCAAGGGATCGAGACATGATTTCTCAAACTTGTTCCAAATTTTCAACTGGCGGTTTATAAAAGCAACAATCTTTCCCGCGTTATTTGTTTCAAAGAGCCAGTCAAAGCCCTTATGTTGGCGGATGTTACGAAATGGCTGCCTTCCTTCTGGTCCGCAGTTCAAAACTATATACAGATATAACTGAATCTAGCCATTTAACCCTCGTCTAAATAAGGCACAGTTCAGGTTGAAAATGTTGAACCCAATACTTTACCTAATGTATATCAACAATAAAACGCCTTGGTAACCGCGGCAAGATACACAGCATTAACAGAGCGTAAAACCTAAAATAAATATTCACTTACTATACATCTAATCCAATTTGAGATTAACAGGTTGATACCCGTCACGTACAATGTTAGAATACCGTTATTTAATATGTATTTTAATCAGAGCGAAACGTTATGAAAACAGCACTTATGTTATTAGGATAGAAAATATACTTTTATAAATAAATCGTATAATTGTAGAAAAATATGATGAACAAAACCAGTATCCTACATACCTATTGTATACTTGTACCTTTTGAACTTGAAGGTGGAGCTAAACAGAACTAAAAAAAGATGCAAAACGTAGGTGGGTTGAAGGAAACGTTCTGGTTATCCAGAATCTCTTCTATATACACGTGTGTTAAATTTACAGTACGAAATACTTTTTTTAACATATTGCTTTTCCTGTTGCAATATGATTCTATTTCAAGAAACTAGTACACGCATGTAGCAGCGATCGGTCGAGCGATAAAATTTCCCGAATTAAAAAACTAACTACATAAAAATCTTACTTGTAAAACGTTGGAACATAAACACAGAACAAACGGAAGTTCAAAGATAACGAAAAGATACGTTCTGCTAAATTAAGAGTGGAAGTCGATGCTAGAAGATTAAAGTATTAAATGAAAACCTAAATAGTTTTGGCGCCATCTTTAAATAAAATTCGCTTCTATAATTATTTCTAAAAGGCACGTGACTTTCTTTGAACTTTTCAAGGTCTGTTAACTGATGTATATATATCACAAATAAGTATTTTAATAAAACTAATTTATTTGTTTATTTACTATATTAATTTAGACTTATAATATTGGGTCGGGCGTAGCCAAGTAGTTCGCTTGCCGGGATGTGAATCTGAAGGTTCATGGTTCACGTCCCGTTGCTTTAAAATTACGACCTGCACTTTGGAGCTGTAGGTGTGTTATAAGAGTGACGGTCAGATCTCACTATTTAGTCTGAAAAGAGTAGCCCAAGAGTTGGCGGTGGGTGTTGTTTACTAGCTGCCTTCCATCTATTCTATCACTTCAGAATTAGTCCTCCAGTAGCTTCGCGCAAAATCCAACAAAGAAACAAACAAATTGTTTGTGTCAAAAATTTAATAGCAGAGTGTAAGTCTACTTCAACTTTGAAGCATTACGCTGTATAGTTTCATTCTATTATGATAAACCTAAACCTAATTAAACTTAAGTTACCGTTAAACACGTAGCTTTGATAGTGTTATTATACCTTAAAGAATGTTATACTATCTTCATGATAATTAGTTTTGGGTAAGAATCAATACAATTTCTTAATAAGTAAATTTCGCTATAAAAAAAAAAAGAATAAATTAGTGAGAATTTAATGATTAAATAAAACCTATAGCATTTTAACGATACATTTTAAATATATGAGAAAAAAATCACAGTGTAGCTTCGGGTAACATATGTTCTTGTTTCTGGTTTTGTCTATGAATCTCTAACCTGAACCTAATACGTGGGATACTGAGTTTTGTCTTGTATTTCGACGAATAAAGAAAATATTACTGCCATCTGTAAGCTCTCGATCGAAGGACAACTGATCTGTTAGTTCAACTGTTCAGTTTATGAACGTATAACCCAGAAAAACTCAGCCAGAATAAGAATTAAGGTGTTTTTGTAGCTTTTGTCTAAATTATACATTCTACATCTCAGAAGTTCGGAATGGGGGTATAATTTATCGTACGAAACCATTTCTACTGAAACGTGAAATTCTGTAAAAAAACAAAAACAAAGTTAAGTGCGAGGCTTTCTTAAAAAATAAACCTTAACAATCACGATTTGACATGACTGTGTGCATAACAACCAGCAAATCCTGCTTATCCTGCTGTAAACCTTAAATGGGGTGAAAGATTACTAGCGGCTGCTCACCGTAAATACATTTATCATAAGTTGGTTGAAAAACAAACAGAGGGAGATTAGAGTGAAACGCAAATCTAAAAGCATTACTGTAAGCACGGTCATCTATCATACTGTTAACAAAGGTGATTAAAAGCTATATGACCCCCCCCCCCCCCCACGTGACTCAACAGTAAGTCTCCAGAGCTATGCTTCTCAACTGGGTGAATGGTTCACCCAAGAATTTTGTTTATTTTATGTTGTATTCATTCTAGTTGTAGTTTGATAAATAGATTTATTTTATGTTGTATTTATTCTAGTTGTAGTTTGGTAAATACTTTTATTTTATGTTGTATTCAATCCAGTTGTAGTTTGATAAATACATTTATTTTATGTTGTATTCAATCTAGTTGTAGTTTGATAAATACATTTATTTTATGTTGTATTCAATCCAGTTGTAGTTTGATAAATACACTTATTTTATGTTGTATTCATTCTGGTTGTAGTTTGGTAAATACACTTATTTTATGTTGTATTCATTCTGGTTGTAGTTTGATAAATACTTTTATTTTATGTTGTATTTATTCTAGTTGTAGTTTGATAAATACATTTATTTTATGTTGTATTCATTCTAGTTGTAGTTTGGTAAATACATTTATTTTATGTTGTATTCATTCTGGTTGTAGTTTGATAAATACTTTTATTTTATGTTGTATTCATTCTAGTTGTAGTTTGATAAATACACTTATTTTATGTTGTATTCATTCTGGTTGTAGTTTGGTAAATACACTTATTTTATGTTGTATTCATTCTGGTTGTAGTTTGATAAATACTTTTATTTTATGTTGTATTCATTCTGGTTGTAGTTTGATAAATACTTTTATTTTATGTTGTATT